ACGAGTACATCACACAGGCCCGAGACAAGAGCTATGAGACCATGATGAGGGTGGGCAAGAGGGGCCTGAACCTGGCCGCCAATGCTGCCATCACGGCTGCTGCCAAGGTGAGATGGGGTGGGCCCGGCCTGCCAGGGCAACCTCCTTGTTTATCCTGAGCCCCTGGCCAAGCCCTTGGCATCCTCCTGTCCTCAGGGCTGCGGAGGCTTCGGGTTTGTGCAGCTCAGGGTTCCAGCCCTGGCTCTGCTATTCTCTGGCTGAGTCACTTCCACTATCAAGCCAGTTTCCTCATCTGATCAAACGGAAAGTATGGCCCCAGCTGCGTAGGCCGGGGTGAGGGTAGTGTGGGAGCAGCGCTGGGCCCCGGGATGCCGCCAGGGCCATGGTGACCTCCATGTCCACCGCCCTTCCCTACTCTCTCGGTGCGGTGCGTGGTGGTGACCCCAGGGCCAGGGGGTGCTGTCAGAGAAGCTCCGGAGCTTCAGCATGCAGGACCTGACGCTGATCCGAGATGAGGATGCGTTGCCCCTGCAGGGGCCCGACAGTCGCCTCCGACCCAGCCCTGGTGGCCTCCTGGACACCATTGAGGACTTAGGTACCGGCAAGGCCCAGGCTGCACAGAGGATAGGGTTGAGGAGGGCAGGTAGGAAAGACCCTGGACCCTTGTGCTCTTTTCCTCTTCTCCATCAGGAGATGACCCTGCCCTGAGTTTAAGGTCTAGCGCAAACCAGGCCGATCCCCGGACAGAGGCCTCAGAGGATGACGTGGGAGACAAGGCCCCCAAGAGGGTCAAATCCATCAAAAAAGTACCAAAAGCTGAGGTGAGAGCATGGGCCGGAGTTTAGGGAGATGGGGTGGGGAGAGCCTGAGCCCTGCCTCTTTCCTTTCCTGTCTCCTTGCCGCCACAGCCCTTGGCTTCCAAGACGTTGAAGACCCGGCCAAAGAAGAAGAGCTCCAGCGGGGGCGACTCAGTGTGATGTTCGCGCCCCAGGCTGCAGTGTGCGGAGTGAGGAGGAAGCCCGGGTCGGGCACAGCCCCAGCCCCTGCTCCACACTGTGCCACTAGCCCTGAGCCCCCTCAGGTGGCCACTCCTCTGGAGGGGGCCTGGAAAGGAGGAGAGAGGCCCAGCTGCGGAGGTGATGTCAGAGACTGGCCAAGGCTTTGCGGACTGAGCCCCCTAGGAGGTGGGAGGCTGCCCCCCCCCGCCAGCCCCTTTCCCTGCTCTAGCCCTGTGCCGCCCACCCAGTGCCTTGCCGAAGACCGTGGCCAGCCCTTCTCTGAGCCCTGATGTATGCCTCCTGCTCTCCCTGGGTTGGAAAGGGGAGCACTCACAGCACAGGGCAAGGAGGGGCCTGAAGGCACCGGAAGAAATGGAGCAAATGGGCCGCAGGCCCGAGGAGCCTGGGCAGCTGCCAGTGCAGGACATAGGGTTGGTGTGGGTTTACATGACCAGGATGGCCCACCCAGCACCGCAGCCGTGGGCCTGTGGGCTTCCTGTCCCCATTAGAGAGATGGGGCTGCAGGAGTGTGTGTGTGAGTGTATCTTACGGGGCTGGGGTGGCGGGAGTTTGGGTGAAGGACTCTGCTCCAGGGGTCACCTCCTCCTGCTCTCAGGCCTGGCCTTTCTCTTTCTGGACCCCCCATGCTAGTCTCTGAGACTTGGAGGACTCCAGCCCATTGCAGTGTGGGGCTCCGGGATGCCTCTCACCTCCCTGCCTGTCCTCTATCCCTGCCTGGCTCTGGGCCGGGCTCCTGCACTCCTGAGGCCCAGCATGGAAGAAGCCCTGCTGAGCTGGCTCCGTTCCTCCTCCCGGAACCCCGTCCTGTCTTTCCTTGCCCAGGGTCCCCTTCCTGTGCCAAGCAGACCCCTGTCAGTCTGGCTCAGCCTCACACCCTGCCCCACTTCTGCCATGGCTCCTGTCAGGAACCGGAGGAAGTTGTGAAGGAGAAAGAAATGCAAGAACCAAGGGCTCCCGAATCCTGGGAAGAGGCTGCACACTGGACCTTTGGCACTGGATGAGCCAATAAACTAAACTCTTGACACCTCATATATTTTGGCTTTTGTATTGTTCCTATCCTCCCCAGTTCACGGAAGGACCCCACCTGAGAAGCAAGCCCAGCAGGCGGGCAGGGAGAGGAGAGGGGAAAGCCAAACTGTGAGCCCCAGAAGCTCTGATCTCCAGGGAAGTCTTACCTTGGAGTAGTTCTAAGAAAATGGTTTGGGGGTTCAAGATAAATGTTGACGACCAGAGGAAAATTAAGATCTAATTAGCCTCAGGTCAGGGATTTAGCTCAGTGGTTCCAGCGCCTGCCTTGCCAGGGCAAGGACCCGAGTTCGATCACTGGTACCCCCCAAATCTAATTAGCCTCCTCTGTGGGGTGATTGCATATTAGGGGAAAGTTAAGTCAGCTGAGGTTAAGTTGTTTACTACAGAGTGTGCTAATGGATATTGGAAACCACAGGAATCTTGTTACCTTGATAACTTGTGCCTGTGTTTGGGTGAATAAAAATGAGATGAGGGAAAGGCTTGGGGCTACTCTACCTGCTAACGGCACAAGCTCCCTGGCTGCCTGAGTGTTGAGCTGCCTCCTTGAATCCATTATTCATCCTTGTTCTCCCCCAGGTCAGAGAGGAACAGAGTAGGGGGTCTAGGTCCCAGAGCAAGGCTGGCCAGGTGAAGTGGCTACAGGTGGCACCCGAGCGTGGGGCCGAGGACTTGGGGTCGCCTACAGGTAAAGCCAGGCACCTAAGAGGGCCTCAAGAGTTGTCTTGCCCCTCCCAATGTTGCCTCGAGACCCCAGGCCTTCTGGCATCTCACAGGAAGTGTCAGTTATAATTCTAGGGACACAGGCCCCAGGGAAGCACCCAAGGAATAGGTTGGGATACTGGACTGCTAGGTCGGGCTGGAGCCTGGGTGGCCACAGTGCCTAGAAAGGCCAGAAAATGTGGGCCAGACGTTAATCCAGACACTGAAGGGGCTGACAGAACCTGTACAAGCCAGTCGCACGAGTCTTGAGGCAGAAAAGGGAGACGGCACTAAAGGCTGGGACGAGAGGCAACATGGCAAGAAAGGGGTGAGAGAGGAAAAGAAGATGGAGGCCTCGGCATGGCACGTGCAACTGGCTGGGGTGAAACCCTGCAAGGCCAGAACCCAGGAGAAGAAAAAGGATGACAGAGGCAGCAGCAAAGGGAGATTAACAGAAAAGTGGTGAGGGAGGAGAAAAGAGCGGAGAAAACAGTATGCAGCTGAGCCTCGTGGAGGGAAAGCAGAGGAAGCAGAGGATGATGTGGGTGGAGGCTCTGGACCCTCAAGGTGACAGAAAGTCCCAGTGTGAGGCTTTCTTCCCTGGCCTCACAATCTCCTGAACCGTGGGCACAGAGGGAGCAGGGTACGAGAAGTCCATTGTCTGCCTGGAACTGTCCGGTGTCCAGCCCTCTGAAGGCCGCTCCTCTCTCCTCTGGTCCCTGAGCACTGCGGCCCCTTCCTCTATCCAAAAGAAGACAAAGGGAGCCGGGGATTTAGCTCAGTGGTTCTGGTGCTTGCCTTGCAAGAGCAAGGACACAAGTTCGATCCCCGGGGCAGCCCCCCCAAAAAAACCACAGAAGAAGAGAAAGGTGCTAGGGTAAAATTCAGGAACGAGACTCATCCTAGAAAGATCCCCTGAAAGATGCCAGTAACTACCATATGGCCAGAAAACCAGGTTAGGCACGCTCTACTTAAATCTCCTTTGCTGCAGAGCACTCACACGTGCGCGCACACACACACACACACACACGCATGTTTGCACCCATGACTGATGGATAAGGAGGTCAGTGCCAGATTCTGCGTTGCCAGGCTTTCCACACACATCTGGGTTTCCCGAGTCAAGAAGAACATGCTCAGCTTTCCAAGCTCATTGGCCCATTTCCATGGAAACATTCAGGCTTCCAGAACTCTGGGCACAGGCCCTGCCCCATGGTGCAGGGGAGGAGAGAGAAGATGGAAGGAGACGTAACACGCGGAATGGTCTCTGGGAGGAAGCTGGCTGGGGGGACACGTCTAGGTCTAGGTAGCCCCTTGCTGTCTGTCCCCGCAGTACCTGGGACCGCCTGCCAGCTCCCATCTGCCTCGCTCCATCTCGAAGGCCAGAGGGGTGGAAAAAGGGACGTCAGTGCATAAGTTTATGGCCAAAATTAAGGTCAGTATCAGATCAATGCTTGGGTTCCCAGGGGCTTTGAAAGGTATTAGCTTTGAGTTGGGGGCTGGGGCTGGGGTCTAGCGTTGTATCCTGTGTCCAAGCCCCCATGAGGACACTGGGCAGCTCTCTCTATACCTCAGTCCGAGGCTGCGAGGCCTCAGGCCTGGAGCTGCTACAGCTGGTTTCTCCTCCTCTGTGGGTGTCCCATATCCGGAGAATCTGCTTAAAATGGGATTTCCAGGCCTGACGTCAAAGGAAAGCCTCTCCCTGATTAGCAAGCGGAGCCCAGCCTTGCTCCGCCCGGAAGGAGGCGGGCCTAGCAGAGGAGGGAAGGGCATCCTGCATGCTGGAAATGAGCTGTTCCCGGGTCTAAAGACCCTGGTGGCTTCCCCATCACCTTACATTTCAGCCAGTGCGTGTATAATCATCTTCCTCCCAAATCCCCACGCCCCATTTTTTCTCTGTGCTGGGTCACACCTGGCTTGGAAGAGGAGGAGGGCACCTCGAATCCGCAGAGCTGGACAGCGACTTCTGTTTGCGTTCTGCCTGAGTTGGTCCCACATCTAGGCTGGAGGCGGTGGTAGGAAGGGTGCGTTCAAAGAGAAAAAAGCTCCACTAGGTGGCGCAGCTCTCTTCCAATGTGGCTGGTGGTCCTCTCCTGTAGCCAGTCTCTCAACTTTGGTGAGCAGCGAACCCCATAACTCCACTGAGCATGAAGAAAGTATTTCTGAGGGTGCACAGGACAACTGTGGATTCTAATGCAATCTCTGTCTAAGCCCAGCCCGTACACACTCCCTGCCCACTCCCCTACATGTGGTGGTCAGTCCCAAAAGGCACCTTCTTGGTGTGGGTGGATCAACACCCTCCCCGGGGCAGAGAAATGCCAGTCTGACTGACCCTGAGAGAGTCCTACAGCCCAAGAAAGAGACCCATCCTGGGCTGTGTGTGTGTGTGTGTGTGTGTGTGTGGTACTGGGGATCAAACCCAGAGGTACTCTGTCACTAAGTTACGTCCCCAGCCTCTCTACCACAGCCTGTGTCCCCTAAGTTGCCCAGGCAGGACCTGAACTGAGGATTCTCTTCCTCAGCCTTTCACAGCCTTACAGGTATGTGTCACCTCATCCAGCTCAACCTGAGCTTCTGAAATGGCATTTAGAAAACATGTTGGAGTTGATCTGAGAGTCAGAAGTAGGTGTTGGGCTGGTCATGGTGGTGCGCACCTCTATTCCCAGCACTTGGGGGGGTGAGGCAGGAGGATGGCCAAGAGTTGAAGGTGAGCTACCTAGTGAGACCTTGTCCCAGGAAACAAAAAAAGGGCCAGGGATTTAGCTCAGTGGTGCCACCTGCCTTGAAATCGCAAGGACCCAAGTTCAATCCCTGGTACCCCCCAAAAAAGGAAGAAGGAAAAAGAAGAGGGGAGGGAGGAGGAGAGGGAGAGGAGGAGGAAGAGAAGAGGCGGCTGGGTGAAAAGACAGGGAAGTTCATTTGGCTGTACTGTTCCCTGGACCTGGCCACAGCGGCCAGCTCAGGCCGGCTCCAGACCTCCTTGCCCCCTACCCCTTCCCTTAGTTTCATCCGCTTGCTGAGAAGTTGAAGAGAAGATAATGTTCCTACTCCCTAAAGCCTGGAATTCCTACTCCCATGTGTTCTTGCAGAGTCTGGGAGTGGGGCTCCCGGGGACCTACCTTTCCCTGCCCTCTTTCCCAGACTTACCCTTGCATTCTTAACTTCCCTCTTTTGTGTGTGTCAGGCAAATGAGCGATCCTATACCAAAATCGCTTAGCTATCCCCTTCATCTGGGAATTGAGTGCCGGCAAGTAAATGGACACCCCCCCATCTTTCCTGTCCTTCGGCAACACCAGGTCTCTGCCAGAATTTCCACCCAACCTCATCTCAGTCAGAATCACCGTTTAGTCCCCACCAACTAAGAGGCAGAGACCCTGGAGATCAACTCAGCTAGAGCCCTGGGAGGGACTGGGTGAGCTAAACCAGGTGGAGACTCTTTCGGGTACCTTGGCTTCCCATAGGCCACTCAGGTGCCATTTCCTGTGTTCAACCATCCTGGGCCTGCTAGGTCCGGCTTTTGGAGCAGCCAGCTCAGGAGACTGCAGTCTTCCTGGCTCCATCTGAACTATTTGCAGCCTGAGCAGAAGGGGCCTCATGTGCTCCCAGACTTCTCTGACAGAGGTCACTCTCATCTGCTTCGTTCTCTGTGAAGAGGAGAGGAAGGGAGGGAGAGCAGGAGGCAATGGAAGCTCTTGAGCCAACCCAGCTGGTACCAGCTCCCTGCCCTGCGGGAGACAGGCACACTCAACCTCTGCCTGCCCCTTCTGCCAGAGCTCCAGCTCTCTTTCACCCCGGAGCTCAGAAGTGAGTCCTCCCTCCTAGCTGCAGGCTGTCAGATGAGCCCTCCAGGCCTCTGCCACACCTGTCCTTCCACTGACAGCACACACTGCCTGCCCTGTCTGGTTAGTGCCTATTTCCCCATCAGAATGAAAGCCCAGCTGTAGGCAACGGATCCGACTGGTTCACCGCTGTTTGCCCAGCACTTGGCACGGGCCTGGCCACGAGAAGCACTCTGCACATCTTTGCGGGGTGGCTGATGGTGCCCCTGCAGCACCCTTCCATGCCTGGAGGGAGGAACAACCTTCCAACTTGAGCTCACCTGCCTGTGCCCCACGCTGCTGTGGAGCTGCACAGGGCTGCCGGGACCTGCTGCCCTCACTCTGGTTCCCCAGCGCAAGCCCACGCTCCTCTCCTTCCCTTCTCTCTCACACAGATGGGAGTCAGCTTTCCAGCCACATTCAGTTCTCACTTCAATTCAATGCTAAATTGGGAAGAAAAGCAGCTTCACACTCCTGATTTAGCCTGGGAGAGAAAAAGTGAGA